AAAGTTTAAAGTACTTAGATTCTGAACATTTTAAGAATACTTAATGTTTCTTGTATCATAAGCATTAGCCTAAAGTAATTAACATAATTGTAACTGTGAAGGTAAATATATTATTGACTTATAGGTGAATATTAGATTATGAAGCTTACAAATATCAAAGACATTTGGCAACAAAGTCATTAATGCATAGCTAAAGGGCATGCATTAATGACTTCCATTAGTAGTTATAGTTTCTTTTGGCATTTCAAGATTACATTTAATGATGTTTCATGTTTCCCAAGATGACAATAGCACAATAATTAGAATGGAGACAAACCTTAGGACAAATAAGTAAAGTACAAATTGTAAGCAGTGTTTCTTGTGAGAGAAAATATTTCAGTTTACCAATTAAAGGAAGTCTGACATTGGTGATTTTTTTTTTGATTTTTAGTTTTTGTTTTTGTTTTTGTTTTGTTTGGTTCTTTCAAGTTAAGTTTTCTTCAACTATAACACCCAGGAATTTTGTGAAACAAACTTGCTTGAAACATTTGTTCTGTATATCAACTTGATTTTTACCTTTATATCTTACTCATGATTATAATTTTTTCCAACAGTTAATAAATGTTTATGAATTTGTCATTGTGATTAGTTAGATTAATTAGAAATTTTTTCTTGATATCCAATCACAATGTGGGGACATTGCTCTTCCTTGAGGTCCAGATAACTAACACTTAAATTTCATATAAAATAAAATAAAATGAAAATAAAAATTATATAAAGAATTAAGTACAAGCAGCAAATTCAAAAGTGAATGTATATTTAATGGTAGGCTATTCCAAAGTGTAATGGAACAATGATTCATTGGGTGCGGTCTTTGGTCTGACGGCCCATTAGTCCGAAGGCCCGTTAGTCCGAAGGGTCTTTGGTTCAAAGTTCCTAATTTTAGTTGGGTGAGTATCTTTGGTCCGAAGGTCCGTTGGTCCGAAGGGTCTTTGGTCTGAATGCTCATTGGCCCAAATGTTCGTAATTTTAATGACCTGGTTTTCCAAGAATAATTTTTATCAAACTTATTGAAACTGTTTGTCATGTCAGCTGGGCTCTTTGGTCACCTTTAATTTAGGGACGTTCTTGACCACAGAATGCGTTTCTGATCTGCTTCCCTGAATGATTCTTTATTTTTATATTTATATATTATATGATTTTTTGTATTATGTGATTTATGCTTTTGTTGTTGGCTTTAAAGAATACTTATATTTGATTTATACATATATACAGTGTATGTATGTATAATGCCTACCTTCTCTTTAATGTTTTCAAGAGCTGGTCCGTCTCATGGTGAACCCAAACCTGGTTGCTTACTCTACCCCGCTTCCGTTTGTCCATTTCCATTCTATTATAAATCCACTGATACATCAGTTTGACGTCAATTTTCGAAAATTCGGAAGCCGTCAATTTTTCGTCTCCGTCTTCATCGTAATTATGGAGCTGAAGAAATTCTGGTATAAGATGTGTATAAGAGACAGATATATATATATATATATATATAAATTTCTACTAGGGCAGATTACAACTGTTTTATTTGTTTATTTCATTTTGTCACTCTGCCTATGCAGCTTTATTAATTTTATATAATATTATATACTTGACAAAAATCAGGTTTTGCAAATAGTCAAGTACTAAATGTATAATAAACAAAAGTTAGGCCCTACATGTAAAAAAAGCAAATTACAAATAAAGTTTCCACAAACATATTTATGCCTAACTCATTTACATCACAAAAAAAAAAAAAAACTAAGCCGCTGATACATGGGCCAGTTGACGTTGAACCTGCTTGAAAGTAGCCTAAAAATTTATAATTATCTCTTAGATAAGTCTAATAGTGTTATATTATACCTTGCGTCAAGTGAATTGTTTAATAGGATGTTGTGCATCTTGCAACAATCAATAATTTTGTATTGTTACTGTTAGCTGTCATGTGTTTTCTTGTTTTATATTTTTTTGTCCATATTTAAAATATATGAATTTCGGACCAACGGACCTTTGGACCAACAAACTTTCGGACCAAAGCCCCTTTGAACCAAACGACCTTCGGAGCAATGCACTGACCCCAATTCATTTCACCATTTTAGCAATTCTTCAAAGAAACTTTTTTGAAACATATTAAATGTCATTGATTATAAAAGTAAATAACAGAAGTTCAAATATCAAACCTTGAGGGACATGACAACAGGTGATTGGAAGATGATTTGACTCCGTGTTATTAAAGATACTTACTGTTATGGTTAAAGACTTTCATAAATCATTGAAGAACTTTTCTCTGTTTACCATACATGCCAACTTTCTTAACGAAAGGTCATGGTTAAGAATATCAACTGCCTTTGGTATTAAATTTTTTTTTTTTAAACTTCCTATTGTATATTAATTATTATCTATTTCTGTTGTAATTTTGTCTACGATATCAACTAAGCCTAGGTAGGAAGTATTTTATATGAAACTATATTGCTTATTGAATAAAACGTTATTTGTTTCAAGAAAGCTAAGTTGGGACTTATCTTCTACATATTCTAAAATTCTTGAAATACAAGAAAGAATTGGTATTGGGTTTTTTTTATTTTATGTACATTGCTATATACTTCCATGCCAATTGGAATAATATCATAAATGATAGAACAATTGATAATTGAGGAATTTAGCAAAACGTTTTACAACATTTATTCATTCTGTCATATCCTGGACTAAATGGCATAAGACATCATTGGTTTAGTGAAACTTGGAATAAGTTCCAAATAGTTACAGTTTTTAAAACTTGTTATATTTTTTGGTGAGGTTTTACCACTATTTATTCAATTAGAAGTTTAAAACTTTATTTTAGTTTATGTTAAGAAGTATTTAAATCATTTGTTTCTAGAAGGGTTTTGAAAGACTAGATAGAATGTGTTCAGGAAGGCCATTGTATAACTCATCCTCGCATTCAAAATTTAGCTGCAAGGATGATCTATGGATTTTGTGTAGAATAGGTACGTGCAGGTTGAAATGAGATGCGATATTGTTGTATGATAGAGGAGTATTTTTTTTTATTTTTTTTTATTTTATTTTATTCTGGTATATGGTAAAATACAAAAAGCTGAACCAGTCTGAAATTATTGTAGTACAAAAATTCAAGATTACAAACAACAAAAAATTTAAATACATTCAAAAACACCAAATTACAAACATCATCATCATTAATAAATATTCAAAATAGTAAAAATACAATTCATTAACCTATAAATTAATTAGACTATTAGTTCAATATCATTTTTCATTATTGCAATTATTATTAAAATATATATTACCACTATTAATTTATTAACTATAAACTTATTATTTTATTGAGTTTTTATCTTCATTACTTTTACAATATCTTTTAAATGATTTACCCATATATTTATCATTAAAATGTTGTTGCATTGCAATTATATACTGTATAATAATAATAATAATAATAATAATAATAATAATAATAATAATAATAGTAAAAAAAAACAACAAAAAAACAACAAAAAAACAACAAAAAAACAACAAAAAAACCTAGAACCTGCATCTGGTATGATTATTGTGCATTGATTAATTTGACAATTAACCGCAGACCGTTTATATCGTTTCGTCTTGCATTTAGGTACGACAAGAATTCCACCATTGGATCTTAAGGTTAATTTTCGCTCTGTGAACAGACTTTTATGTAAACAGCAGAATCTTGAAAGCTATTCATATTTGATGTTCAGCCAGTGTAAGTTGTGAAAGACTGGTGAAATGTTTCAATACGTACAGGAGATAAGTCATGTTACAATGCCAAAATGTGAGTTTTAGCATGGTTATAGAGTAGACTATTACAATAATTGAGTCTACTGGATTAATGTAGCTCAGCGATCATCCAGGAATCTACAGAGGCAACTAATTTTTCTAATGCAAAAGATCGCTGAAGAGCAGATTTCATTTTGCTTTTGTTAGAAGGTTGAATTTAAGGGTATTTCTATAGCAAAGGTAGGCAGACACCACCTACCCTCCCCTCCCCTGTGTATATGCATGACCTAATCATTTTAGCATCCATCATGGAGTAATTCCAACCCTCTTCAGGTTCAAAGTATTAGACTTATAGTCATGAATGATATTTTACTAAATGTGTACTAAAAGACAATATTGCAAGAAAGAGGAAAATTAATTTGGGAAGTGCTGGTCAAACAGATGTGTCTTTAGTCTGTACTTGAATATAGTAATATTTCCTGTAGACCTGATAAGTATGGGCAGAGAATTCCAGATTTTGGGAGCAGCAACAAGAAATGATCTATTTCTCCAGTTATTCTTAGTATTGTGTTAGTTTGCATTAATTAAACAATTAAGTATGCATTATTTTGCATATTGATGGATTTTTATTATGGCTGACAGTTTTTGTAGTTATATAACTGGTGAATAATTGAAGACCTTGATATGAAATAAAAAAAATAGTGTTGTTGATCAAGCCTCCAGAAATGTACCTCCGTGAATGTGCAATCAAATAAATTGAGGATGATAAGCTAGGAGATGGCCTTGTTCTATTTTTGTTTTTAGCAAAAATTTATTCATTCAAAAAACTAGACTCAAGAAACAAACCTTAAGTTAATTTAATAGAATTTAGAGATGACTCTAGCTCATATTGATCAGTCTGTATATAATAATAATAAATGCTGTATTTCAATACACCCAAGGGTGATTTTTATCAAGGCCATGTAAAGCCATATAAATAAAAGTACTATAATATAAAATATTTGTTATATCCAGATCACTGTTATGTTTCAAATTAAAAAAATGTTTTCATTTGAAACAATGAACTACATATCATTCTAAACAATGTTGTTGTCAAGCTAACCATTTTTCTTTCGATTTATTAATTATGTTTATGTAATTACTCTTCTTATACTCCTTGTAGGAGTAATACAGGTTCTTTAAAATAAACCTCTCACTTTTGTCAAACTACAGACCAGTCTCCGCTTTTGTTTTTACAGGTGGATGTAGTAAAAAAGAAGTCAAGCCATGGTATACCTCTATCTTTCACAGCTGCAATGATGATAACATCAGTTCTGTGGCTTCTGTACGGCTATGCAATTAATGACATGTACATATTGGTAAGAATTTCATGTACTGTACTCAGCATCAATATATCTTAGGGCCTGTTTCTATTGGAAAGAAAAAATTGATTAAAAATCGCTTTTTCAAAAAATTACATTTTTTCCTGCAGTAGGAACGGGACCAGTTCGAAGAAAGCGATTAAAAAAAATTGATTAAAACACGCAATGGATAGCGTGTTTGAATGGCAAATAACCGATTTTGGCTGTGCATTTTTTAGCAGCAACACAAAAAGCGATTATCAGGTGAAATGTGACCTCCAGGTTGAACCACGATCATATCACATGCAAACTTTCAAAATTGATAGTCCTCTTGTTCATGTCAGATGCCTACAAGCTAAAATGTTAGCAAACATATGGAGCAATGAAATTACTCGTTTTGTTATTATTTTGTGAGGGATATATTGGGCCAGGCATCTCCGCTCTTCTTCTGGGCCTACAGTTTTCCTCTTTCGTTCTCTCATTTGTTGTGCCGATGAGCACAGCTGAAAGCATTCGCCTTTTCGCCACACACCATGTCCTCCTCCTCATCATATCATGACCGAAATTCATGTGAAAAAAGACAATATACTTGAAGCATATTGTTTTTTGGTGAAAGAAAGAAACTATACAGCTTGGAAAACTTGTTGTATAAACAAAATGGTGAAATTTCCGCCATGAAGACCGATTTTCTAAAATGCAAAAACGCGGCCAGACTGTCTATTACTCATTACAAGAGCGGTTAAAAAAATTGATTATTTTGTGTTTATCAGTAGAAACACGCCCTTAGCATATACTACTGTAAATTAATGGCAGTTTTGGTAGGTAAGTCTGGTACTTACCTGAAAAGGTATCCCATATTCCAATTATCTCAACCAAATCAAATTGGACACAGATCTACTGTGGACACCTACAGGTTTGTGGTTCCACAGACCTAACAGGAACAGTTCATTCTCTCTATTTTTTTACCTCAATATTGGAATGAGTAGTTTGTTAATTTATGTAAATCATATTCATTAAAACATGTTGAAAGCAAAGCTTCTAAAAAACTATATTTCATGAGTGTCCAAATCTGAACCAAGCATCTTCTTTTCAGTTTTCCCAGTAAAATTCAACAGCACAGAGGTGATTCTTTAATAGAACTTACAATAATCAATGTATACTGTAGTTTTTGCATCTCATACCAATGTAACACATTTTATGATATATTTCTACCATTATATGTTAGTTTCATCACAATAAGGAAGGAACCTTTTTACGAATATAATGATCTCCGGAAATGGATTACAAGTTCTATGTTTACAAAGACAAATATTATAATAATGTCTATGTTATAGTTTGTGTGCTACCTTTAAAGATCTAGAGCTACCACAAAGAGTCACTCATTATTTCTCATTAGTGTTTTACCTTCTTCAGGACAGCACCTCTGAGTATGGCATGCACTGAGTGCAACAAAATTATTTATTTCATAGTACTTTACTGAATAATATAAATTCACCTAGCCAACCTTGGAGTGGAAAAGTGTTTTGTTATTCTGGCTTTTCAATTGCATGTAGCACTTTTTCACAGTGCATAGAAACCTTAGTTTCTGAAGTAAACAAATATTCACCATTTAAACTATTACATAGACACCTGAGGTGACGTATGATAAATATCCTCCTTTGTGTCTCTATATTTTTCTCAGGGGCTCACTTATGTTCTCCCACGCTGTTTTTTTTTCAGACTGTTCCCCCATTTTCTTGATACAAATATATATCAATCAAGGTTGACATTGTTCAAGATTCAAAATTTGTGGAACTTCACTTGCTGCTGTATACAAAATGTATTACATTACCAAAATTAAAATCAGGAAAACTAAATTATAATTATTAAAACCGATAGTAAATCTCATGATTTTGTTATTATTTGTTTAAATAGTAACTTGTCCAAATTAGTTTATTTGGAATTAGTCCAAATTGCATCTGACTGTTTAGTATTTTATTGATTTAGATAGACATATCAATTTTTTTGTGAAAAAGCCAGCAAGTAGGAGACCAGTCTAATTTTGTGTTAGGATCACTTTAGTAAACATGTAATACAAGATTATGTTTTAGAGCTTCTTATAGACACTCAGAAAATAAATTGAGTATTCTAGTTGTTTTTGTTCTGTAATATTCAAATTTACTAATCCTATCCATGATTCCAATTTAATCCTAATAACATCATCAATGACCATAAATCTTGGGTGACAGTATGCTCGGACCCAAGAGTATATTAAATCCCCTTATTGATGAGCGATATCTGTTAAACGACATTTTCTAATGGCACATGTAGACTGTGTTCCAACTGAAGCCTACAATATTATGCTAAATTTTGTTTTTTGTAATTATACTCTCTTTGGTATCAATTGCTTAATTTTTGCTTTTTAGTCTCATTTGAATAGAGTGAAAAAAAATATTTGGTTTGTAAACTAACAAACACAAAATAAATGTTTACAATATCATTGGCATCATCTTTATCCTGTTTGGCCCATGATGCCATGATGTTTGAGTTTTTTTGAATATTATTATTCAATCTTTTACAGTGTCATATCACTCATATGTTTGTTACTCATAGTTTGTTACTCACATAGTTTAACCATCTCGCGGAGTTTTTTTAGTGTTGTATTTGTACCACTTTTTTATCTTCTTGCCATCAGTATAACGTATTAATTTTCTTCTGTCACATCACATTCCCACGTATCATTTCAGTCTGCTCTCTTGTATCTTTGTCCTAATTTGTCTGACCTTTATCTTCTGCAATATATCTTCAATACTCATCCTTTCTCTTAATATAACTCCTTTGATCGCTGTCAGCCGTTTCATCTCAACAATCTCCAGCCTCTTCACCTGCAGTTCTTTGTCGGTTGTCTCTGCCCCATACAGTGGCATATCTAGGAGGTTTGACATGGGAGGTTTGGAATTTTACCTACATATTAACCTTGCTATATATGTTAATAGTCATTTTCAATGTATTTTATATAGTGAAATATAATTTGTGAATTTAATTTGAGGTTGTTTTCTTAACGTGAGATGGACAGATATCAACAGATTGCTAACTGTGTTACCAACTATTGATAATGTAACCACCAATACTTTACTTCATCTTCAATCAATCTAGCTGTTCATACTAGACAGTGAGCGCTTTCTACTAATCTGCATCAGTACTCAATCCAGGGCCATTTCTGCATATACAGTATAAGCTTTTGCCTTCATTTTATTGCAAATTATTGTAAACCAACAAATGAATATATTAGCGGATGCTGACCCCTGATAAAGACCTACTTTTATCTGAAATTTTTCTGTATTTTGAATCACGTCCATATGTTTAGGGTGCATATGCGTATCACTTCTTCCAATATAAAATTGAGTCGCACTAGTAGATTTTCAAGCTGTTGACCTTGTTGTACACCTTTTCTTCACAAAACCCCAAAAATTGGTTTGGTTGGATTCCAAAATTGTTAATAAAGTAACATTTATTCATTTCTCATAATCATATCAAATATATAAAATTTGTTTAAATTATAGTTGCCATTATTTGACCCTGATAATCAGGGAAATTTGTTAAGGTTTGCTTATTCTGAACCTCTAGCATTTTTTTTTTTTCTTTTTTTTTTTTTCAACCAGCATATTCTTTGCATGGTCCCTTAAATTTGTGTATTTCCTTCACACCCAACAGCAAGTACACTCGCCACTTACAGGATGGACGATGCTTTATAAACCAAGTCTCTTTATGATATGAGGCTTAGGGAGTGGAGTGGTTTTTGGTAATGAGAAGAAATCCTGCTGTGACAAGAATTGATCCCAGGACCCTGGAATTAGAAGTCAAGCACCTTAACTACTAAGCTAATCAATTCCAGTCCAGGATTTCTGAAAACCAGAAAAAATTAATTGAAAGTTTAATTTATTTAACATTTTTGAAATTGAACAAGTCAATGATTGGTTGAAATAATTTTAAAGGATTTTCAGATATTTCAATGAACAATCTTTAATTTCCCTGTTACAACAAAATTTTACATTCGGTATGCTTCCATTTACATCAATAAACTTCAACAAATTTGTCGTCTGCTGCCTATACCAGCATTCAACTTAGCTCAGTCGGCTAATCTGGTGGTAGTCACTGTGTATGCGCTGAACCGTGGAGACCTCTATGTCCCGGTTCAATTCCCATCGCTGCCTCTCCTTGTGTTTCAGCTGGAGGGCTGAAATACAAGTTAAAATAGCGCACCGTCTTTCGGATGAGACGTTTAACCCGTTGGTCCCATGTGCATTTATGGCCCATGTGCATGTTAAAGAACGCAGTACACTCTTCGGAAAAGAGTAGTGGATTGTCTCCCGGTGTACTGCCCAATCATCACCAGAAGGACCCCACTGGAAATAAGTCTTCTTCTAGACTTTCGTGGGCTATCCTTGGTGTTTACACCGAATAAATCCAATCCAATCCAATCCAATCCAAATCTTACAAAATACCAGGTGCCAATAAAATTGTTGCATCGCAAGCCTTCACATATTGCAAACATGTACAGTATAATAAAGTTGTCTAACTTAAGCATAGATGCCATTCCTGTAATTAATAAGCGTGGGTTTCTCTTTCTACAGATGAGAAAATTAGCTTTATATTTCTCTCATCAGTTTTATTTACAAAACGATGCCTGATTGATAGCGTATAGACCAATTAAATCCTCTTTAGCGCAGCCTGACCAGCCTCGCTAAAAAAATTATAGCCATCCAACTGATTAAATCACGTTATAAATTCAATTTGAAATTTCTTTTCTCTGGGTGCAGTTTACGATATAAACGTAAATGTAAACATAAACCATTCGGAGATTTAGCACTGATTTCTGAGACGCCCTAGAAAGCAATGGTTGATAAATTGAATGAAAATTTATTTTGCATTTTGCCATATACATTTTTATAATCTATGTGCTTTTTCCCACTTTCACTGTTTGAGCTTAATATTCAGAGTTTCTCACCCCATTAGAAGTAGGACCCTTAACATATTTC